AAGATGGGATGGCGGGGGAAGGGACTGGGGCGGAACGAGCAAGGTGAGGGCAGGCATGACGGGGGGCAAGGGGAGAGGGAAGAGGGAAAGCACATCGCGTGCAGCAACGAGGGGTTCCAGCTGCTGCTGAAGATGGGATGGCGGGGGAAGGGACTGGGGCGGAATGAGCAAGGTGAGGGCAGGCATGACGGGGGGCAAGGGGAGAGGGAAGAGGGAAAGCACATCGCGTGCAGCAACGAGGGGTTCCAGCTGCTGCTGAAGATGGGATGGCGGGGGAAGGGACTGGGGCGGAATGAGCAAGGTGAGAGGGGTGGAAGTGAGAGGAGGGACCCGGTTCGCATGGAGATGGGGGATGCACGGCTGGGGCTGGGGAAGCAGGAGGAGGAGGAGTGGTATACGGCAGAGGAGAACGTGCAGAGAAAGGGAAATAGTCCTTCCTCCTCTCTTCCCCTCTTCCCCCCCTCCCCACCAACCAACTCCCAACCTTCTTTTTCTCGCCATCCCCACCCTACACCCGCCCTGCTCTTCCCCCCTTTCCCTGCCCCCTCTTTCTTCCAATTTTACAGGCATCGTGGACTTGGTTCGCATGGAGATGAGGGACCCACAGCTGGGGCTGGGCAAGCAGGAGGAGGAGGAGTGGTACACAGCAGAGGAGAATGTGCAGCGGAGGAAGATATGTGCCCTGTCCCTCTTCCCCTCTTCTCCTCTTCCCTCCCTTTCCTGCTCCCCGTTTCCTGCCTCCACCCCCCTCCCGCCCCACCTCAAACCCCCAACCCTACCACCCCCTCCCACCCCTACCGCCTCACCCCCTCCCACCCGTCCCGTTTCCCCCTTCTCCCGCCATCCCAGGCATAGTAGACCCGGTTCCCACAGAGATGAGGGACGCACGGCTGGGGCTGGGCAAGCAGGAGGAGGAGTGGTACACAGCGAAGGAGAACGTGCAGGGAAAGGGGATTATTCACTTCCCCTCTTCCCCCCTTCCCAACCAACCAACTCCCAACCTTCTTTTTCTCGCCTTGCTCACCTACTCCCGCTCTTCCCCCCTTCCCCTTCCCACTCTTTCTTCCCCTTTACAGACATACTAGACCCAGTGAGAACGGAAATGAGGGATGCACGGCTGGGATTGGGCAAGCAGGAGGAGGAGGAGCGGTATACGGCAGAGGAGAACGTGCAGAGAAAGACTAGTCTCCCTTCCCGCTACCCCTCTTCCCCCGCCCACTACCCCTCTACCTCTCTTTCCCCCTCCCCCAGGCATAGTGGACCCGGTGCGAACAGAGATGCGAGATGCACGACTTGGGCTGGGGAAGCAGGAGGAGGAGGAGTGGTACACGGCAGAGGAGAACGTGCAGCGAAAGAAGCTGGAGATAGAAGTGGAGGAGACAGAGGAGGTGGCGAAGAAGAGAGAGGTGAGGGGAAAGCAGGCTGGGCTGAGAGGGGTTAGGAGAGGTGAGTATTGTTTCTTAGAAAGCTGGAGGTGGAGTGTATGTGGAGTGGAGGAGAATGGAGGAGGTAGAGAAGAAGAGAGTGGTGACGGGGGTGGGTGTGAATAATTTTCTTCGAAAAAAGGCATGCACACTTCTGTATGCTCACTCCTCACCGACAGGCTCTCCAATTGTGAACCTTCCTCGCTCTTCTTCCTCCCCTGTTATCCCTCCTCCACGTCCCCAACAACCCTTCCACCCCAGCCACCAGGCAAAGCAACAGCACAGGCTGCAGCACCCCTCCACTCTTTCATGTCTTTGCTTGGAGTTGCACGCTTCCTAGCACCTCTTTCATCCTGCACTGCGCACGCACCGTCCGCTGCACTGCTGCTCCTACGGCTTAAAGCCTGTGTCCATCGCCAAGGACAGTAGGAGGAGTGCCCTGTGGATCGCTCGCCCCGCTGGCTGTTATTACCCTCTTCTCCCCTCCCCTCCCCTCTCCCTTCCGTCTCCTCTCCTGTTTACTCTGCCTGCCTGCACGTCTTCCCGTTTGCTTCCTCCTCCTCCTGCTCCTCCTCCTCGGCCCCTCAATGGGCGCCTGCCCCTCCCCAATGGGCCCTTATCCGTTTCAACCCAACAATCAACTGCTGCTGGTGATGTTGCAACGCAACGGCTCCGCTGAACGCCTCCCACGGGTGCCCCCATCCCGCTCGTGGCAACGCCTGGGGGATCTGTGCAACTGTGTCGCCGTGACATGGTGTGTGTAATGCACGGTGGCGCATGTTGCGGCACACGTTGCGGCGCATGTGCGTCACACACGCTGTGTGACTCGTGCGGGTACAACACACATGCTATGCATCGGTGGGCATAACCAGGAGGTGGCGGAGAGGGTGGAAAAGATTCGAGCGGATGTGAAGGAGATTCAGAGGGTGTTTCTGTGCGAGCTGTGCAACAAGCAGTACAAGCTGGCGAGCGAGATGGAGATGCACCTCAGCAGCTACGACCACAACCACAGGAAGGTGAGCTGTGCTGAGGGGTGTCGCAGTTGACACGTTCATATTCGTTGAAACTAAGTGTGCTTCTAAATCCAGCTGACCAATGGTGTCTGGTGCCACTTCCCGTCCCATCACAACATACCATGATGTTGAAATACCTTTCCTCTGTTCTCTTTTTGTTGTCTGGTGTCTTTTTAAGCAGCTAACCATATTTCCTGTGCAGTTTGCCGTTCTCCAATGTAACCATCCCCATTCTCCATTCTCCATTGCATCACATTCATTCATTCCTCCTCACAGCGCTTCCAAGAGACCAAGAAGATGCAGCAGCAGGGCGTGAGGGACGAGAGGCAGCGGAGGGAGCAGCTGAGGGAGGAGAAGGAGCTGGCTCGATACGCCAAGCTGTGAGTCGTTCTTTCTTCTTTTGCTCAGGTCCCCTTAGATGTGCCTTGCCTGGTTGTCGACTCGACTCAAATGACCCTAAAGGGAGGAGCAGCTGAGGGAGAAGGAGTTGGCCTGATACGCCAAGCTGTGAGTTCCTGTATGATTCTCTCTCTTTCTCTTTGTGCCTGTTACTTGAGTCGACTCAAACGCCGCTGAGGGGAGGAGCAGCTGAGGGAGGAGACGGAGCTGACGGGGCAAAGCTGTGAGCCCACTCTTCTTCTCTTGCTCTGGGCCTTACGTGCCGTGCCTCCACTCAAGAGTCGATGAGGGAGGACACGGAGCTTGGCATGATATGCCAAGCTGTGAGTCCCATTTCTCTTTTCGTGTGCGGGGCATTTGGTGCCGCACCTAATTTAGAGTCATCTCAAGAGTGGTGAGTGAGGAGAGAGAGCTGGCGTGCTACGCCAAGCTGTGAGCCCGTTGTTGTTGTTGTTCTCTGTCTCTTCGCTCAGGTACTTAGATGTCTTGCCTGTTTGTTGAGTCGATGAAAAGGCCGCTGAGAGAAGAGGATTTGAGGGAGGAGGAGAGGGCCTGGCGCGCTATCCCAAGCTGTGACTCCCGACTTTTGCTCAAGTACTTTGATGCTGCACCGGATATTTTTTCAGAGTGAATATTGGCACCATGGCGATTGGAATGCCTTTGAAGTAGCTTTTGCTACACTGTCTGCTTTCTTAAATAAATTAAATTTCTTTATCGATCCTTGCAGTGTGGAGGCCCAGAAGCAGCAACAGCAGCAGCAGCCGACAGGAGTGGCGCCAGCAGCGGCAGCTGTAGAAGCAGGGGGGGCATCAGCTGTGTCAGCAGCACCCCGTCCAGCTGCAGCAACTTCAGCTATTCCGGCTGATCGCTCTGCCCTCAAATTTGGCATCTCAATGAAGACCAAACCAGGGGCCGCAAAGAAGGTACTAACGCTGCCATTTGGAAAAACATGCCATTGCATCTTGCCAATGGTTAGCATACTAAATATCGTGTGATCACGGTTGTGCTTTTCAGGGTTTTTTTGGGAAGTCGAAAGCTGCAGCTCCACCAAAGAAACTTGCATCGGTGTTTGGTGTGGAGGATGACGAAGAAGAAGCAACTTAGTTGGGTTTTTTTTATCATATGGCTGTAAAATGGCAGATAATAATAATTTATTTCCTTTTTATTGAAGCTATCCTGTGCGAACTCCTTAGCGCGACCGCTCGAAGCGAAGCACTTACCATACACCTCACAGATGTCAGGGAAGGGACAAAACACAACAGTGTATTTGATTGTTCTGCTCGTTTCGGATCGGTTCCATCAGCAGCCGGAACTGTGCAGTGGGGCATAAATGCAATGCGACATGCGTAGATTCAGATATCAGAAGAGGAATTTCTTACCACAGCTGAATCTGAATTCTCCAAAGCATGCATCGTTTTACAGAATGAGAGACAGACGTGCTTCGCTTTTAGTAAAATAACAGCTCGCTCACTTGCCAGCCCTGCGCCGGGCGCTACTCTCACTGCATGATGATCCGACGGAGCAACGAATGCTTTCGTGTCATCGCCACGCCACGACACGCTTTACTAGTTGGCGACGCTACCAGCCACGTCACAGTTGTCGCTCATGCAGCTTTTAGGCTTAATCTCACGTTACACCTACGTCATTCTTGCGTCACACTAGCACAACCAGCTGGCAACCGCGGAGCAGATTTGAAGCTTACGGCCAAGCTGCTAATAAACTGAGATTTCGTTAGAGTCACAATATTGGAGCTTCCTGGTAAACGTTCGCTAAGTGGCATGTTGCTGCTTCGAGATATCCCAATCACAAGTGCGGTTGTTGCGATGGAAGAAGAACAATCTGGACCGTCCGATGCGCGTGCAGTATGTTTGGCGGGTTCGGCTAAACCGCTGCAAATTTACCGTAATGATCGTGAACTGGCACCAGCGTACTACAGTGCGTCCCAGCGATCCTTGTACATCAACGAGATTGACAATATCGAGGTTATATCCAGCGTACACCTTTCCCGGCGGTTGTGGGGCGGTGGGAGAAAGATCCGAGCAGGAATTGCGCGTTCTTCTTAACTCATATTCCCAGCAAGTAAGGGAGGTGCTGCGCTGATTCACAGGGAGGCGGTATGGCAACAGGATCGGACGGTGGATATTTGTCAGAACGAGCCTCCAAGATGGAGGGTTTAGAGAATTTCGAGGAGGTTTCGTTTCGTTCCCCTGGTGGTCTTGTTTTCGAACCTCTTAGCGAGGATGAGGAGGAAGGAGGGGAGTGTAGGGGTGGGAGTGAGAGAGAGGATACGGGGGAAGAGGTGGTGGTATGTGAGGATATAGGGGAGTGGGAAGGGACGCAGGAGAGGAGGAGGGGGGGAGTGAGGGAGATAGAGAGAGAAGACGAGGTGGTGTGCGAGGAAGAGGTTTGGGAAAACTCGGAGGGGAGTGTGAGTGGAGGAGAGAGTGAGGGAGCGAGTGAGGTAGTGCGTGAGGGGGTGAGAGAGATAGTGCGTGGGGGAGTGAGGGAGGAGGGGGTGGTGGTGTGTGAGGAGGAGTGTGTGGCATGTGAGCTGGCAGTGAAGCAAATGAGAGGAGGGATAGGCTCCACGTGGCACAGATTCACTGGCTTCTGGGCTTCGAAAAAAAAGGATCCAGATTCCTCTACCAGCCAGATCAGCACGGGAAACGAGCGGATGACGAAAGAGGAGAAGAATAAAGTAGAACACGGAGTGGGGAGGCGTGGTAAGGGGTGCTTATGGCTGTTACGGGGGGGCAAAGGAAAGAAGCAAGGAAGAGGGAGAGGGTTACCTGAAGAATCACCTGAAGTATCTGAATCACCAGAGGAACAGGACAGCAGCACTCAGCTTGAGTCTGGCAGAAGCAGACAAGACTATGCCGACCCAAATAGCTCTGGCCCGACTGGGGCACCTGGTTTGGGCCGAATCGGAGCAGGAGGCTTGGGGCATGGCGTGGTTGTGGGGGGCTTGAAACGGGTGGGTGAGCGAGAGAGCCTTGAGACTCCTCCTGAGGAGGGGGGGGATTCACAGGGGAGAGATCTGCAGCAGGTGGTTGGGGGAGAGAGAGCGGCGGAGGAAGTGGGAGAGGGATTGGGAGAGGGATCGGGGGTGGGAGAGAGGTTGGAGGAGGGTTTACAAGGGAACTTGATTTCAAACAGTGACGTTCTCATGCAGATGTACCCGGAGCTTCCAGGAAGGTGCGAAGCTGTGGCTAGTCCTGGTTGTCCTGCAGGGGAAGAGGGAAAGGGAGGGGACAGGGGCGGAGGAGGGGGTGTTGGTGCCGATGCTGCTGGTGCCAGCGGTGCTGCTGATGCTGACGTGGCAGCAAGCAGCGGTGCTGGTGATGCTGACATGGCAGCACGAGATCCTGCTGGTCATGCTTCCTCAGCACCGAGAGGTGGTACGGCGGAGCCGCTCCCCTCCAGACCTCCCCGGCTGCTGGCAGTGCTGAGTGTGGACGGAGGGGGAGTGAGGGACGCCATCCCCACGCAGATCTGTGTTCGCCTGGAGGCCATGCTGCAGGAGAGATGCGGCGATCCCCACGTGCGACTGGCAGACTTCTTCGACCTCTTTGCTGGTGAGCCACCCGGCTTGCTTTCTCTCCCTTAGGCTGATTTCCCTTCCCAGGCAGATAAGCGTTCCTCTGGAGGCCATGTTGCAGGAGCGATGCGGGGACCTGGATGTGCGACTGGCGGATTTCTTCGACCTCTTTGCTGGAGAGTCGAGTCATCTGCCCTGCTCTCTCTCCCCGGCCGAACCTTCGCACTAAATCTCTGTGCAAATTTCTCCCTTCTCTCCCGTCTCTCCCTGATTCCTTCCTCCCTTGGTCTCTCCAGGCACTGGCCGTGGTGGCCTGCTCGCCCTCATGCTCACAGCGCCCCACAGGGCAGCGGGGTGGGGTGGGGTGGGGTGGGGTGGGGTGGGGCGGGGCGGGCGGCCATGAGGGCTCAAAACAAATAAAAGGAGCTGTGCAAGGTCCGTCCCTTCTCTCCCATCTCAGCCTGCTTCCTCCATCCCCTCCAGGCACCAGTAGTGGGGGTCTGCTCGCTCTCATGCTCGCAGCACCTCACAGGGCAACGGGGCAGCCGGCCATCAGGGCTCAGGACACGGATAACAGGGTGTGCAAGTTCCTTCCTTATTCTCGCTCTCATTCCTAATGTCTCTCCTTGCTTCCTCTATCGTTTCCTCCAGGCACCAGTGGTGGGGGTCTGCTTGCGCTCATGCTCACTGCCCCTCATGGGGCAACGGGCCGGGCGGCCATCAGGGCTCAGGACCAAGGAAAGGAGGTGTGCAATGTCATTCCCTGCTCTCTTTCCGTTATCTCCCATCTCGCCCTCCTCCCTCGATTCCCCCAGGCACCAGCGGTGGCGGTCTGCTTGCGCTCATGCTCATAGCCGCACACAGGGCGACGGGGTGGCCAGCCATCAGGGCTCAGAGTAAGGCTAACTAACAATCTGTGCAATCTCCTTCTCTCTTCGCCTGTTTTCAATCCCCCTAGGCACCAGTGGCGGCGGTCTGCTTGCCCTCATGCTCACAGCCCCACACAGGGCGACGGGGCGGCCAGCCATCAGGGCTCAGGACGTGGCAGACTTTTGGACCCTTCACTCCAAGCACATCTTCCGGCGGCGGTTCTGGCCGCGATGGGCTGCGACACTGCGCAATATATGGCGGCCTAAATACAAGGTGGGTGTGCTTGTACATGGGGACAAGGGTACCGACCGACCTACAGGGGCAACAGGGCAACAGCGAGTCCAGCAATCAGGGCGTGGCAGACTTCTGGTCGCTGCACTCCAAGCAGAATTTCAGGAGGCGGTTCCGGCCTTGATGGGCTGTCACACTGAGGAACATATGGCGCCCTAAATATAAGGTGAGCATACTCTCAAGCTCATCCCACAAGGCGACAGGGGTACCCGACCGGGCAGTCATGAGAGCACTGGTAGGACGTGGCTGCCTTCTGGTCGCTGCACAACAAGCACACCCTCAGGAGGAGATTCTGGCCGCGATGGGCTGCCACACTCAGGTACATATGGCGGCCCAAGTACCACTTTAAACCCACTGTCACTGTACCACTCTTCCCCGCTTCGCTCTCAGGGCAGCACTGGGGCTCTTTGCAGCTACTTCATTGCACCCAACTTCACCACTCTGCGCCCCCTCTCACCCTCCTCCCTCGTCAGGTGAAGGTCCTGGAGCAGCTTCTGCGTCATTTCCTCAGGCAGCTCTGTGGCACTTCTCAGCTACCTCACTGCACCGTTGTGTACCCGCTCTTCCCCCGTCATTATCAGGTGGAGGTCTTGGAGCAGCTTCTGCGTCATTTCCTCAGGCAGCACTGTGGCGCGGCGGACCTCTGCCTATCAGAGGCCGTCAAGCCGCTCCTGCTGACGTCATATGACATCAGCACCGCCCGGCCATACTTCTTCCTCAGCCTGCGGGCGTTGTCTGACTCGAGCCACGACTTCCCCCTTATCCAGGCGAGTTGTGAGGGCGAGTTGGGTGGCGAGCTGTGATGGTGGCCTGTGCGGTACTACTACTATCAGGTCATTCATTAGGCTCTGTAGTTGGCTCCGCCCATACTTCTTCCTCAGCCTGAGGGCTTCTTCTGACTCGAGCCACGACTTCCCACTCATCCAGGTGGGTTATCATGCTGGCATGTTATGAGCTCTTGCCGTTACAGGGCCTGTGTGGTGCTAATCGGTCATTAGGCTATGTGATTGGCTCTGGCCGTACTTGTTCCTTCCTCAGCCTGAGGGCTTCTTCTGACTCGAGCCACGACTTCCCGCTCATCCAGGTGGGTTATCATGCTGGCATGTTATGAGCTCTTGCCGTTACAGGGCCTTTATGGTGCTAATCGGTCATTAGGCTGTGTGATTGGTTCTGGCCGTACTTGTTCCTTCCTCAGCCTGAGGGCTTCTTCTGACTCGAGCCACGACTTCCCGCTCATCCAGGTGGGTTATCATGCTGGCATGTTATGAGCTCTTGCCGTTACAGGGCCTTTGTGGTGCTAATCGGTCATTAGGCTGTGTGATTGGTTCTGGCCGTACTTGTTCCTTCCTCAGCCTGAGGGCTTTGACCGACCCGAGCCACAACTTCCCTCTTATCCAGCTTGGCTGTGAAGGCTTATGCATTACTGTGGGCCGATTGGAAAATTGGGCTGTGTGAAAAGACTCGCCCTTCTCCTCCTCTCAGCCTGAGGGCTTTGCCCGACTCGAATCACAACTTCCCCCTTATTCAGGCGAGTTGTGAACTAAAGTAGTCATTTCATTATCATGTTTACCCAACGATTCAATCTGAGAATCCCAGTGAAGCTTCTGGATTAACTGTGGGTGGAAATTTGCCCACAAGGAGTTGCAGCTAAGCTCCAAATCTATTAAACATCAGCCAGCCGCGTTTAAGCTTCACCCTATGTGTGCCATTTCATTTCCGAGTTCTGTTAGTACCTCTGATACTTCTCTTCCCTTGCTTCCATGAATTCATGCGCCAGAGCTATCTTGGTCTAGCACTTCAGCGATTTTACAGTCTTGAAGCGTCGCCTTAAAAGGTTTTGATGCACTTTTGGCCCGACCAGGCATGCAAAGCCACGTCAGCAGCTCCCAGCGTGAGACTGTGGGGTGGGGGCACAGCGATTTATGGCTCTCTTACTGCACTCTGGCTTAACCATTCCGCCAATGCAGGCCTGCAGAGCCACGTCAGCAGCTCCCAGCATCTTCATGCCGGCTCTCGTTCGATCGGTGGATGGGCGGAGGGAGATGGTGTGCGTGGATGGGGGCATGGTCGCCAACAACCCTGTGAGCTTGGGGGCATGGTGGTTAGTACCCCTGTGAGTGGGCCGGTGGTTTATGGTGGCATAGTGGAATGGCGGTGTGATCATATCTGTCAGCTCCACTCACCACTTCTCTGCCGCTCCCCCATCCTCTCCCTACCGCATTGTATGTTGCTTCAAGCTTCTCAAACAATTTCTCGTTTGTGATCCTCATTTTCAGTCTTTACTGTTCTTTCTATGCTTTTTTCTAGTCTCTTAAGATGCCCTTTCTATGACCCATTACAGATGGTTCTGATGGGGTGTGGCATGGCCTGTATTTTGCAGACTGTAGCAGCGTTCCTTCACATCGTTGCCAACCCGTCCACCTTCAAACCTCCTGGAGAAAACAACGAAAATGGTGCACACAACGGGGCAAGCACCAGTGCAAGCAATGGTGCGAGCGGCAGTACAAGCAGCGCTGCAAAAAACGCTCCAAGCAACAATGCAGACACTAACGACGATGGGGAAACGGGAGGTGGGGAAATCAAGGCATCAGCCACAGCACCTGTTTCTGCACTTCACGCCTCGTCTTCGGCACCTGCCGCTGATGCAGATTGGCTTTCACAGGCAACAGCAGCAGCGGGCACGAGTGCAGGGAATTCGCGAGGAGAGATCTCACCTGCAGCAGCAATGGCTGGTGCAGCGTCTGCTGATGCGAGCTGTTTGCTGGCTGGAGACGTGCAAGAGGCAGCAGATCTGAGTGCGAGCCCGCTTCTTCATGATGCTGAGAAAGGAAAGGGAGGAGCAGAGAGAGAAGGAGAAAGAGGGGAAGCAGCGGGCAGCAGTGAGTCGTGTGAGGAGCCTCTGTCTCGAGCTCGGCTGACATTCCGAGATGTGGTGGTGCTGTCTCTGGGAGCAGGCGAGCACATGCGGCGATACTCTATTGATGAGGTGAAGAAGTGAGTGTGGGTTGGTGCTTGGTATAGGGAAGAGGGCTGCGAATGGTGTGCAGAATCCATGATGGATGTGATGGTGTGGGGCGGCTACCTAGTCACTCCCGCATTACCCTCACTGTTACACACGCACCATTCACGCCCTCATGTGTTCATCCACCCATGCCTTGCATTCCCAGGTGTGATGGTGTGGGGCGGCTACCTATTCACTTCTCACTGAGGGACATACCATACCGCTCATACTCATCCTCTCCTGTGTGCACCCATGCCTTGTGTTTGGCATTGTCATTGCTTTCCTTCTTTGCAGGTGGGGACTGATTGGGTGGGCAGAGCCGATGGTGGATGTGATGGTGTGGGGAGGAGGCAACATGGTGCATGCTCAGATGTGCCTGCTGGCTCTGGCAGATGGGGCCATAGACAACTACACTCGCATTGAGGTGAGTGTGGGGTGAGGTAAGTGGGGCGTGCCTGGGGGGTCTCTGTGGCTAGTGCCTTTGACGCGCCTCACGGGGGAGGCAACATTGTGCATGCTCAGATGTGCCTTCTTTCTCTGGCGGATGGGACAATAGACAGCTACACACGCATTGAGGTGAATGGAGTGAGCATTGAGCAGTGGAGTGGGAAGCTCATCCGAGGTGCCCCACAGGGCAGCATGGTGCATGCGGAAATCGCACGCATGTCCTGCCAGTTGGCTGCTCCCATCAACATGGGAGGTGTGCCAGCTGCCTGGCGTTTTCCCACTCTTTGTAGTACCCTGCCTTCGCATGTATGTATCTGCTCCTCTCGTTCTCTCTCCCTGCTCCCACCCACAACACACCCACACGTACACGCATCCACCCACCCATCCCGCTGTCAGGTGCAATCCCTACCGTCCATCTCGACCAGGATGGACAACGCATCATGGAGGAACATCCAGCTGCTGCAGCGAGTGGCAGAGGACGCTCTTAAAGCCCACGGCAACGTCGTCCCCTCGCTGGCGGGGGAGGTCTGCCAGCTGGCGCCCACCAATGAGGAGCGCCTCGCTGCGCTGGCGGATAGGCTCGTGGCGGAGTACAGGTGGCGGCGTGGGATTGGAGGCTGAGCCATGATTGACTCGCTCCTGTTGAGCAGTGTAAAGGCTGCACAAATGTGCTGGGAGGGGGGTTTGCTTCACCTGGGGCCTCAACATTTCTGGTGAAACTTTGTTATTTTTCACAACAGCTCTTTGTGATAAAACTCCCCTAGTCCTACATTTCTCTCTAGTACATGTCAACTGCAACAAGAGTGTAGTAAAACATACAGGAGTCACAGCAGAGCAGAGTTGGTTGTACATACGGTAGGTAACATGCGTGGGTGGGATGGAGAGTGTAAATTACAATGTTATTTCTATCCAAAAAAGGACAGTGGCAAGAATGGTTCACAAGCAGAAAGTGGACAATAAGCGGAGGGATAATAACGGGAAAGGGGGAAAACCCCCCCACAGCCCCCCCAAGGCCCCCCCAAGGCCCCCCTAAGGCCCCCCTACCCCCCAATCCTCCTCACAGCCCCCCCCTATCCCCGGCATGGCATGGTCCCCCCCCCCCCCCCCATCCCCGGCATGGCATGGTCCCGCCACGTGGCTTCCCGTCATTGGCGGAGAAGCGGGTGGCGGCGACACGGCGTTACCCTCTTGCTATAACTGGGCAGGGAGGGGGGAGAGGGGAGGGGGGGATGTGAGATGGGGGATGCGTAAGGGGGGCACGGAGCTTGGGGGGCGGAAGGACATGTGGCAGCCAAAGACACCAGGGGGAAGGCATGGGGAAGACATATGCCTAGGCATGGGGAAGACATATGCCTAGGCATGGGGAAGGCAACAGGGGAATACGCAAGGCACGCCACCAGCGCGGAAACGAGATGCGGGATGAGCGATGCGGAATGCGCAAGGGCGGAATGAGCGACGAGGAATGCGCAAGGGGGGAATGAGCGACGCGGAACGAGCAGAGCAAGGGCGGAACGAGCAGAGCAAGGGCAGAACGAGCAGAGCAAGGGCGGAACGAGCAGAGCAAGGGCGGAACGAGCACAGCAAGGGCGGAACGAGCACAGCAAGGGCGGAACGAGCACAGCAAGGGCGGAACGAGCACAGCAAGGGCGGAACGAGCACAGCAAGGGCGGAACGAGCACAACAAGGGCGGAACGAGCACAGCAAGGGCGGAACGAGCACAGCAAGGGCGGAACGAGCACAGCAAGGGCGGAACGAGCACAGCAAGGGCGGAACGAGCACAGCAAGGGCGGAACGAGCACAGCAAGGGCGGAACGAGCACAGCAAGGGCGGAACGAGCACAGCAAGGGCGGAACGAGCACAGCAAGGGCGGAACGAGCACAGCAAGGGCGGAACGAGCACAGCAAGGGCGGAACGAGCACAGCAAGGGCGGAACGAGCACAACAAGGGCGGAACGAGCACAGCAAGGGCGGAACGAGTGGCGAATGCAGGCAAACACGTGTGCTCTTACCACGTAGCCGTGCCGTGCCATGGTGCCACTGCAGCGCCCCATCCCATGGCCGCCCGCATTCGATTAGCGCACAGCCGTGCAACGGCGGTGGCGGCGGCGGCGATAGCGGCGTGAGATTGCTTGCAACGCCTGGAAGGGGATGGGGGCCATGGCACGAGCGCGGCGGAACAAGGGGAAAGGACGAGACGGGCAACACCAAGGGGGGATGATGAAAGCAGCGGAATGAGGGCGGCGGGAACGAACCAGGGTGAAGGGACGAGGGGAAGGGACGAGCGGAAGGGACGAGGGGAAGGGACGAGGGGAAGGGACGAGGGGAAGGGACGAGGGGAAGGGACGAGCCTGCAGCGCGGAAACGAGGCCTTCTTCCGCCTGCAGCGCGGAAACGAGGCCTTCTTCCGCCTGCAGCGCGGAAACGAGGCCTTCTTCCGCCTGCAGCGCGGAACGAGGCCTTCTTCCGCCTGCAGCGCGGAAACGAGGCCTTCTTCCGCCTGCAGCGCGGAAACGAGGCCTTCTTCCGCCTGCAGCGCGGAAACGAGGCCTTCTTCCGCCTGCAGCGCGGAAACGAGGCCTTCTTCCGCCTGCAGCGCGGAAACGAGGCCTTCTTCCGCCTGCAGCGCGGAAACGAGGCCTTCTTCCGCCTGCAGCGCGGAAACGAGGCCTTCTTCCGCCTGCAGCGCGGAAACGAGGCCTTCTTCCGCCTGCAGCGCGGAAACGAGGCCTTCTTCCGCCTGCAGCGCGGAAACGAGGCCTTCTTCCGCCTGCAGCGCGGAAACGAGGCCTTCTTCCGCCTGCAGCGCAGAAACGAGGCCTTCTTCCACCTGCAGCGCGGAATCGAGGCCTTCTTCCGCCTGCAGCGCGGAAACGAGGCAGGAGGCAGAATATGGAGAGGAGAAACTTGAGCTGTTGAAAGGTATAATTAGTAAGATCTCACGTTCATATACATATAAACCGCATCTACAAAACAAGAGCTCCTACAGGAATGGACCGCGGAATAACTCACACGGGGGCCTAAGATGCTGCGCCCGCCATTCCTTCAGCTGTTGCCGCGGCGCGACATCAGCCATCTGCTGCCGCGCGCGCCATTCCGTCATCTGCTGCTCGCGCTGCCCCGCCTACTGCTGCGAGCGCCAATTCGCCCGCTGCTGCGCCCGCCATTCCCCCTGCTGCTGCGCGCACCATCCCTGCTGCTGCGCGCGCCATCCCTGCTGCTGCGCGCGCCATCCCTGCTGCTGAACGACCTAAGGGAAAAAAAAAAAAAAAAAAAAAAAAAAAAAAAAAAAAAAAAAAAAAAAAAAAAAAAAAAAAAAAAAAAAAAAAAAAAAAGCGTTAGAAAACGCTACTTGTAATAGCAAGGAAGGGCGGAACAAAGAAATAAATACTCACGTGATACGTGTTGGCAGTACTGAACACAGTTGACATTGCGCCTTCCTTCCTTCACGAACACGTAGTTACCAAAATCTGCGACGGAAAAGTGGGATATGAATGACGAGGGGCGAACAGGGGCTTCTTTTAACCGAGAACATTGCCCGTGCGGACGGTCACTGCGTGATTCCCGTGAAGGAAAAGACGAGAGACAAAGAAACAGAAATCGGGCTCGCTCAGTCACGCGGAACTGACGGACGGGACGACGTACGTGCCGCCGGCGGTGTTACGAAGTTAACGCTCAGAGGAGCCGCTATTCGAGATGAAACTGGCATTCGTCCAAGCCGTACCGAAAGTCGCACACCTGCGTACAGGTTCGGGAAAATCATACGAGGGAGCAGAGCGTTACATGTCGGAGAGAGAGCTGGCGTTACAACAGGAGCTTGGCATGACATGCCCAGCTGTGAGTCCCGCTTCTCTTTTTAGTGTGCGGGGCATTTGGTGCCGCACCTGATTTAGAGTCATCTCACGAGTGGTGAGGGAGGAGAGAGAGCTGGCGCGCTACGCCAAGCTGCAGCTCTTCCCCATGCTGTGGCGGGTGCCTGGCAGATTGAGGCGAGAGGCAGCAACAGTAAGAGATCGGTAGAGGGGGATGGATGCAGCAGCATAAGAAAATGAGAGAGGAGCTATTGTGCTAGTACTACATGTGTGGGTAGGAAACTGGGCTAAGCAGGTCCACACCTGCGGTTGTGAAAACGTTGGGACCGGGGCAATTTCGCGACAGATCCACGGACGGTCAGGTACGGGACAGCTCGCGCGCACGCACGTTCGCTCCGCGCAGCGACACTGTGGAGGAAACATCACATGCTGCAAACTAAATGGGCATTGAAGGCGGAAATCCGCGAATGAGAAATGAAAGCGGCGAAGCGGCCTAACGAAAGCGCTGCGCAGGGGTGCAGACTAAGAGCAGCCTATAGTAACGGTTTAGCAATGTTGAGAGAAACAGAACGGCGCTTCGCATCGTCGAGTGAAACTTGTGCCAGAGTGGAATGGAATGCAGGGCAAAAACGCGTAGCGTCACGTCCCCCTGTATCCGTGCGACGTCGCCATGACGGTAAGGCGACGCAGTAGGGGACGGCGGAAGCGCGTAAGGCGATGATGCGACTGTGGCTCTAACGAGTTTCGATAAGAGAAAAAAAAGATAAGAGAAGAGCGACGCGCAGAAAGGGAAGTGAAGCGACGAAGAGCGAAGAAAGCGGGGAGAGTGTGGGAGTGAGAGCTCTCCTCTGCATGAATGTGTACATGAGAGAAGAGCGCGGGAGGAAAGTTGGTTGGGTTGAGAGTGACACGCGCAGAAAAGGAAGCGACGAAACAAAGTGATGGGGAGCAGAGGTGGCTGAAAGGCAACCTCACCCGCCCACAAAATGCTGTGTGACAATTCGGGCAGGAAAAACAAAACGGGAGCACAATTTAGTTAGACAATCAAAAGTGGAAATTCTCAAGATCTTCACTGATGTAAAAAAAACTGTAGGGTAAGAAATCAAGCCCACAAAAAAAAAAAAGGTGGGGGGGATAGGAGGAAGGGAAATGCAGCAAAATGTCCGACTCGATTAATCGTGTCGAGTCGTATATTGCACAAAACTATCAAACCACAGCGCGGTCCGTTTTGAACATCGCGGTTCCAGATTGCACCTCGTTTCAACTAGCAGCAAATTTGCAATGTACACATATTGCAATTCCCAAACGAATGACATACCGTATCTTTGTGCATGTTCTATTGTAAGTGTTAATATGAATAGGAAACAACAGGTATAACTTCTGCCCCCACAAGGCGAAATAAAGTGCGGTGGTGAAGTTTGCTACTTATGTCTAATGTCGTGCAGAGAGGTACACGGCTTTTCTGGCTCGTAGAACAAATACTTGTCTTTTAATGCATGCAATTGACGATCAGTTTTTATATCAATATCATTACCATAATCATGCATCAAATAGATGGAGCAAGGAACAAATACAAAGGAGCACCATGCTAGAAACAAAAAAAAAAAAAAAAATATTGGCCATCCAGCAAAGTACGGTATTGCATAAGAATAAACCTGAATGTGCTTGGTAATGGTCGAAGCGTTACATTTATTTCTCGATTGCTCGCTATTACGCGCACAGTGTTTTGTTAAGTTCTTCTGTAGTTGGTGAACCATATTGCAATTGGCTTGCTTGCATGATGCTTACCGTATAAACATTTTCGATGCGCTATTCAAGAAAGATAGAGAGATAGAGGGAGGGAGAGAGGGACGTGGTGAGGTTTCTTGTTCTCTCTCTCTCTCTCTCTCTCTCTCTCTCTCTCTCTCTCTCTGTCTCTCTCTCTCTCTCTCTCTCTCTCTCTCTCTCTCTCTCTCTCTCTCTCTCTCTCTCTCTCTCTCTCTCTCTCTCTCTCTCTCTTGTCAGTAGAGCTACACTGTGAGATCCCCGATCGATCCTAGGGGGGGTTACAGGCGCGTTTGCCTGGGGGGTTATGGGTGTCAGAACATATCTATAGCTTATACTGCTGTGTAGGCTGTAGTGGGGTATCCCATAGGGGGTACAACCCAGTTAGGGTTTCATATTTGTACTGCTTTCATTCATAGTTCATTCATTCCTGTTTTCCTATTTTCACATGGTATAGAGCGGGTCCTACCTTAGGACCGTTGTCTGGGCCCACCGACGCGCGCCCCGAGGCGCGCCCTTTTTTTTTAGCGACCCCTCGGGTCGCCTTTTCACTCGCGGCCCCGCCGCCTCCTCTGACGCGGCTTAGCCGCCTCCCCTGACGCGGCCCTGCCGCCTCCCTTGACGCGGCCCCGCCGCCTCCCTTGACGCGGCCCCGCCGCCTCCCCTGACGCGGCCCCGCCGCCTCCCCTGACGAGGCCCCGCCGCCTCCCCTGACGCGACTCCGCCGCCTCCCCTGACGCGGCCCCGCCGCCTCCATTGACGCGGCCCCGCCGCCTCCCCTGACGCGGCCACGCCGCCTCCTCTGACGCGGCCCCGCCTCTGCTGCCGACGGCCCCGCCGCTGCACTCTACGGCCCGCCGCTGCACCCTGCCGGCCCGTCGCTGCTCCTGCCGGCCCGCCGCTGCACCCTGCCGGCCCGCCGCTGCTCCTGCCGGCCCGCCGCTGCACCTACCGGCCCGCCGCTGCACCCATCGGCCCGCCGCCTCTTACGGCCCGCCACTTGCACCTACCGGCCCGCCGCTGCACCTGCCGGCCCGACGCTGCACCTGCCGGCCCGACGCTGCATCTCCCGAGCCGAGCCGCCCTGCACCCGAGCCGCCCAGCCGCTGAGCCGCCCGGGAGCCGAGCCGCCCTGCACCCGAGCTGCCCAGCCGCCGAGCCGCCCGGGAGCCGAGCCGCCCTGCGCCCGAGCCGCCCAGCCGCCGAGCCGCCCGGGAGCCGAGCAGCTGTGCACCCGAGCCGCCCGGTCGCTGAGCCGCCTTTCTGCTGACTGCACGACCTGCCCTGCCTGGTAAGCACTGTCCCACTGACACTGCGAGCTCTTTCCCTACTGCTTGCACTGCGTCGCTGTCGTCACCATGGCTACCCCTAGTGTCCTAGCTTTTGACGCTGAGGGTCGCGCCATTGATTTTGAGGTCTGGTTAGACGACCTGCAGCTGTTCTTACAGTGCGACAGGGCTGACGACCTTTCTCTCTTTGACCTCACCTCTGGCGCCTCTCCTGCCCCTGCTGCTGATGCTGATCCCGCTGTCCGCTCTAAGTGGGCCACCCGCGATGCTGCTGCACGTCTTGCTGTGCGTCGCCACCTCCCTACCTCTGAGCGTGCGCACTTTAGTCAGTACAAGAGTGCTCAGACCTTGTACGACGCTGTAGTTGCGCGCTACTCCTCCCCTGCCACTGCTGCACTGAGCCGTCTCATGCTTCCCTACCTCTTTCCTGACCTCTCTGCCTTTCCCACTGTCGCTGACCTCATTACGCACCTCCGCACTAGTGACACTCGCTACCGCGCCGCCCTTCCTGCTGAGTTCTGCGCTAAGAACCCCCCCCCCATGTACATCGCTCTCTACTACGTAGTCGCGCGCCTCCCTGACTCCCTTCGCGTCGTCAGGGACCACTTTCTCGCAGTCTGTCCCACCACCCTCACCGTCGACCTCCTCGAGAAGGCCCTCCTCGCAGCGGAGAAGAGCATAGTCGCTGTAGGTGCTTCTCGTGGTGACCCTCGCACCCCCATCTTTGAGGGGTGCTCTCCTTCCCCCTTGCTGCCCTCTGTTGCCTCTTCTGCTGCTGCCGACCTGCTTGGTCTTGAGTCGGTCGGCGCGGCGTCTGCCCCTAGTGGGAGACGTCGCTCCAGCAAGGGCAAGGGGGGCAAGGGCGCGGGTGGAGCTGGAGGGGGCGGTGGCGGTGGCGGCGGTGGCGGCGGAGGGAGTGGGGGTGGCGGCGGGGCTAGTGGCGGGGGTGGTGGTGGTGGTGGCGGCAGCAGCGGCGGAGACGGTGGTGGTGGTGCCAGCGGTGGTGGTGGAGGCAGCGGCGGAGGTGGAGGCGGCGGAGGTGGAGGCAGTGGAGGCGGCAGCGGAGGAGGCAGTAGTGGTGGAGGAGGTGGAGCTGGTCGGGGTGGTACCCAGCAGCGTAGCGGCGGTGGTGGTGGCCAGCGCTCGCACCGGCAGCAGCAGCAGCGCTCGCGGGACATCCCTTCGCCTCAGCAGCTTCGTGAGTGGTACGCTGGGCGTCAGAGGGGTGGGGGTACTGGTCCCTGCACCTACGTTCTTCGTTTTGGCGACCGCGCGGGTGAGCAGTGTGGGGGTGCCCACGCCACCCAGCGCTGCTTTGGCCGCCTGACGGACGCTTGGCGTCAGCAGTTCCCTGGGGCTAGTGAGATCCCTCGCTGGGATGAGCTTCTCAGGGCTGGTGTAGCGATCTTTGATCTTGATTTTGATGCTATCCTTACTGCTATGTATGTTGTGGATTATAGTGAGGAGAATGAGGGTTACCGGTGTTTTCAGCCCGACCCGGGCATTGGTACTGCTGCGCTAGGTGCTTGTGAGGCTGCTGCTCTAGGTGCCAGTGCGTCTGCGCTCTCAGGTACTGGTGAGACTGCGCTCTCAGGTACTGAGTCGTCCTCGTCCTCCCTCACTTTCACACTTGACTCCGGAGCTTCTCGCTCCTTCTTTCGAGACCGCACTACCCTTTCGCCGCTCGCCAGGCCGGTTGCGGTCTCCCTTGCTGACCCCTCTGGGGGTCCTGTCCTGTCTCACTTCTCCACTGTCCTCCCGTGTCCGGCTGCCCCTTCGGGCACCCTGTCGGGTCTGTACCTTCCCTCGTTCTCTACGAACTTGGTGAGTGGAGCGGACCTGCA